GTCAATTTCTTCCTGGTTCAATCTTGGGAGTTTATAGTTTTCCAGGAATGCATCCATTTCATCTAGGTTGCTTAGCTTATTGGCATAGAACTGTTGATGATAACTTCTGATGATTGTTTCTACTTCCTTGGTATTAGCTGTGATCTCTCCCTTTTCATTCATAATTTTACTAATTTGGGCTTTCTCTCTTTTCTTTTGGATTAGTGTGGCCAATGGTTCATCGATCTTATTGATTCTTTCGAAAAACCAGCTTCTAGTTTCATTGATACGTTCTACTGTATCTCTGGTTTCTACCTCATTGATCTCAGCTCTAATCTTGATTATTTCCCTCCTTATTAAGTGTGGAGTTGGTTTGATTTGTTGTTGATTCTCCAGTTCTTTAAGGTGTAGAGACAGCTGGTGTGTTCTGGATTTTTCAATTTTTTTGAGGGAGGCTTGGATGGCTATTATTTCCCCCTTAGGACCACCTTTGCTGTATCCCATAGGTTTTGGACCGAAGTGTCTTCATTCTCACTGATTCCCATGAATTGTTTCAGTTCTTCTTTGATCTCCTGGTTGATCCAAGCATTCTTAAGCAAGGTGGTCTTTAGCTTCCAGGTGTTTGAGTTGCATGGTGGTAATTCTGAATACCTCCCTTACATCTTACCTATTTGGCATGTGCAGAACTTATAGATCTTGGAGAATGACAGCCAATTATAAACTTACTTGGTTGTTGACATCAGTTACAATGGCTGTGCCACTTGTGGCGCCAGTGTTTTAGCCACCAACACATTCCTGGGCATCTGATATATCTATTTGGTTGAGCAAATTATTTTTTTTTCTCTTTTAGGCAATATCACCAGAAAGAGTTTGCCTTCAGCTGGAAAGAGCACCATCATTTCCTACCTCAGGCTTATATCAATTCTCTGAGCTAATGTCAGAAACTCTTCCTTAGGGACCTTGATCATCTTTCTCTTAGAATGGATACCACACTATTTTTTTTTTTTTTTTTGCACTGAGGACATTACTGTGATGGAGAAGTAGAAACAATAGGCACATTGGCAACACACTTGAAAGACAGAACACAGGAAATAATTCCCACACAATATCAGAGGCCTTGCAACTTAGTGAAATGTTTAGAGATTTAGTATTCTGGGGCAGGACAAGATTGTGCTACTACAGTGAACAACACATTGACAAATCTCAACTTTCATACCATTAAAAAAGTGAAAAGAAGGGCCATCTGTACCCCAATGTTCATAGCAGCAATGGCCACAGTCGCCAAACTGTGGAAAGAATCAAGATGCCCTTCAAGGGATGAATGGATAAGGAAGATGTGTGCCATATATACTATGGAGTATTATGCCTCCATCAGAAAGGATGAATACCCAACTTTTGTATCAGCATGGACGGGAGTGGAAGAGATTATGCTGAGTGAAATAAGTCAAGCAGAGACAGTCAATTATCATGTGGATTCACTTATTTGTGGAGCATAAGGAATAACATGGAAGACATGGGGAGATGGAGAGGAGAAGGGAGTTGGGGGAAATTAGAGGGGGAGACGAACCATGAGAGACTGTGGACTCTGAAAAACAATCTGAGGGTTTTGGAGAGGTGGGGGTTGGGAGGTTGGGTGAGCCTGCTGGTGGGTATTATGGAGGGCACATATTGCATGGAGCACTGGGTGTGGTGAATAAACAATGTATTCTGGAACACTGAAAATAAATTTGAAATATGAATAAAAATTTTTTTTTAAAGTGATGCAGAAGGGGAGCCTAGGTGGCTCAGTGGGTTAAGCCTCTGCCTTCGGCCTAGGTCATGATCTCAGGGTCTTGGGATCAAGCCCCACATCAGGCTCTCTGCTCAGCAGGGAGCCTGCTTCCCTCTCTCTCTCTCTCTGCCTGCCTTTCTGCCTACTTGTAATCTCTCTGCCAAAAATAAATAAATAAAATCTTTTTTAAAAAGTGATGCAGCAAAGAGTTGACCTATGAGGTGCTGGTGAAAACACATATCGTTATGGTTTTCTCTTACCATGACCCTCTGATAGGTGACCTGAGAACTGGGTAGCTTGGAGTAGGGCCCAGAATAAAGTTCTCTGACCCTACACCTATGCCCTCATGGGGAGCTCCATGTGATCACTTGACAGGAAAAGAAAAGGCATCATGCCTGATTTTCACTTGGGACATTCCAATATGCAGGCACTTGTCCATAGTAGTTTTCTATTAGTACATAATGAGTTACTCTATATTTAGCAGTGTGAAATGACACAAATGTATGATCAAAGAGTTCCATAGGTTTTGGAGGGAGGGGTGGGGGTGGGGTGAGCCTGGTGGTTGGTATTCCAGAGGGCACATATTGCATGGACCACTGGGTGTGGTGCACAAACAAGGAATTTTGGAACATTGAAAATTAAATTAAATTAAATTTTTAAAAAAATGTTCAGTCAAGCTCGATTGGGTTCTCTGCCTAGGGTTGCACGCAATTGAACTCTAGATGTTGTGCATACTGGGTCATTACATGGAGACTCGGATAGTGAAACCACTTCCAAGCCCTTCCAGGTGAGTGGCACCTCTAGTTTTGTAAGGTTGTAGGACTGAGGTCCCCATTGCCTTGCTATATCTCAGCTGAGGCCACTCTGAAGTCCTAGGACCACCCGCATACCTCCCTAGGTGCACCCCTCCATCTTCCAAGCTGTAATGATGCATCATAGTCATGGAAAGAGGAATGCAGATTATGCAGGACCATAAACATGAAATTCCACTTAGCAAGACTGGTGGTGTTGCCGATACTACCGACTGCTCCATCGCCAGCAGCACAGACCAACACTGAGCTCCTGATATGGCACCATGCCCCCAAGTGGTCAGTCAGCTAATATCAGTAGGCAGATGGATTATTTTGGTTTCCTTCCATCAGGGAAAGGGAACACTTTGTACTCAGACACTGATACTGGAAATGGATCTTCCTTTCCACCCATAGATTTTTGAGAAAACCAACATTCATGGATTTAGAAAATGCCTTATCCAATGTTATGGTACTCCACAAAGCATCACTTGCAAACAAGGAAATTGCTTCTCAGGGCACATGTTTATCGAATTCAGTAGGTGTATTATCTACCTCAACATCCTGAAGTGAAGGTCTCAAAAATGTCCTGGAATGATCTTTTAAACCCACAGTTATGGTTCTAACTTGGCAGCAGTACCTTGAAGGGCTGGGGTAATATAATTTTAGAGGATGTAAATCCTCTACCTCATTGACCAGTATATGTGGATGTCTCTCCCATAAACATGATTCACATCTTTATTAATGAAGGGATGGCAATGTGAGGGGCTCCTCTCATTATTACTCTTATGTATCCAGGAGCCAAATTTTGCTTCTTGTCCCCACAACCTTGGGCTTCCCTGCACTAGATGGCTTTATCCAAGGAGAAATGCTTTCCACAAGAGCCCTAACAATGACTCCATTGAAATGCAAACAGACTCTGCCAAGAGCTCAGGCTGGAGTGTTCCTCTCTGTCAATCATCAAGCAAACATGAGGATCCTGATGTTGGGTCCACGGTCAAAGGAACGAGACTGATACAAAGCAAAGGTCAAGCAAAGCTTTATTTTGCGCCAAGCATCGAGAATCAAACTGACCAGTCAGGGCCATCTCTTACAAAGAGGTGACCTCTCTCTGCCTTACAGACTAGCTTTTAAGGGCAAGGGCCATGTGGTTGGGCCTGGCCATGCACAGGTGGTCAATGAGGTTGTAACACACAGAGAAAGCTGCACAGTCATGCTAGGCCACACATAAGTGACCAATTGAATTACAATTTACCCTATAGTAGACATTTGAACTAGCCTATCACCTTGGTCAGAATTGGCGCCCAAAAGGCACCCAAAGGGCGGGGCCCATACTCCTTGGTAGCTAGGGAGACAGTATGCGCCCCCACTGATTGGATACCTCCACCTGGCCTGAACCACCCTTGTATTTGGGCTTTGTTACCTGCGACTGGTTTCCCAGACTTGCTTTTTGAGTGAGTCCCCTGGGGGGGGGGTGTGGGCAGGGTCAGTTTCAGTTTTACTGCATAAACAACAAAATGACTGTTTAATCCAAGATGGAATCGCTCTGGCTGAATAGGCACTTACGCTAAACAGTGTGGGAAGATGGAACCTGACTGGTAAGAACACAGGGATGCCATGACACAAAATCCTGAGGAGGACTATGTCCATGATGTTTGGGTTTTTTTCAGCACTCTCATGTTGGTGATTAAAGTCAAAGGGAAATTATAGCAACTCATTTCGGGCAGGACATCTAATCATCAGGTCCATCAGTATTTAAGCTGTGAGTCATCCCCTCAGGCCAAGCCACATGACCAGCTGAGGGGCTGATCTCAGGCAAAAGGAAAAGAAATGGATAACGTATAGGGTGCTGGCTGGCTCAGTCAGTGGAGCACGTGATTGTTGATCTCGAGGTTGTGAGTTCGAGCCCCATATTGGGTACACATTACTTAAAATATAAAATTTAAGAAAATAAATGGCTAGTGTAGAAGACAGCTATAAATACCAGCTATAGTCCTGTGACCAGCTAAGGAGCTAGGATATACTGTAGACTGGTCACTTCAGAGCATTTCCCTCCTTCAGGGAGAAAACAAAAAGACAAATAGCAAATTATGCTTTTAAATGCATTGCTGGGGCACCTGGGTGGCTCAGTGGGTTGAGCCTCTGCCTTCAGCTCGGGTCGTGATCTCAGGGTCCTGGGATCGAGCCCTGCGTCGGGCTCTCTGCTCGGCATGGAGCCTGCTTCCTCCTCTCTCTGCCTGCCTCTCTGCCTACTTGTGATCTCTGTCTGTCAAATAAATGAATAAATAATTTTTAAAAATGCATTGCTAAATCCAACTTTACTAACAGAAATTTATAACATTAAAGATCCAATGCCTCAAGAGGACAATCTTCTTAACTAACATGTGCTAGAAGGCATCAACAAGTTCCATTCTAGGAGAGCAAACTGGTTCAGGTTACACATTGATAACATAATAATAGAATTACAATTTCGGGGTGTGATTGTCTTTCTTGAGGAGGTGGTCAGGTTCTAATTTTTCTAATGCCTTTTGCAGGTGCCTTATTAAGTCTTGTCTTTTAAATCTGAAAATAAAGAGACAAGTCATTAACCAAAAAACACCCAAAGAACCCATAATGTAGGAGGCTCCATGGGGGGTATAAAGGGGAACTTTCAATTTATATGGGAATAGGAAATGGACTGTCATGATAAAGGACAATCCAGGAAATACAAAGAGTGTCAGTTCAGGGTCAACGCCTACCTCAAACTCTGATGTGAACAGAATTCTCCTTGAATTTGGAAGAGTAAATGAGACTCAGATAATATCAGTCTAAATAATGACAGAGACAACAGGAAATCTGATTGAAGACCAGGGTTGAGAAAGGACAGGCAGGGCCCACCCTCTCCCCCTCAACCCCACCACACTGGACCCCGCTGTGCTACAGTGTCTCTCTATACCCACCTTGCTGTTTCTTTGATGGAAAATAAAAATTTTCCCACAATTCTAAAGATCCTTCCATGCCTTTAAGCAATTTGAAGACTCTTTCATATTCTGGAAATATTTAGAAAAAAATCTTCAGTATTTCTAAAGTACAAAGAGGAGGTAGAACTCCATCTCGGTGTCTCCAGAATTATTCAAGGATTAGAATGTTAGAGTACCTGTGTTTTCCATGGTTACAATCAGATAGCCAAGCAGATCCACCAATGGAACTCTGGTACACAATAACCAATTAAGTAATACAAAAGAAAAATGACAGAAAAAGTTTTATTGGGACATTTCAGTCAAAATAAAGAGGAACCATGCTAAATTATATTAAAACACAATTCTGGCAAAGGATGAAATTTAAGAGGTCCATTCAATCTAGTTTACATCACAGAATGGGAAAGAATTCCTGTGGTTTCACGATAATAAATTCTGATGCTACTTACTTTGTCCATGTTGTTGAATTCCCTTCTCTCTCTTTTTTTATTATGTTATGTTAGTCACCATATAGTACTTCATTAGTTCTTTTGTTTTTATTTGACAGATAGAGATCACAAGTAGGCAGAGAGGCAGGCAGAGAGAGAGGGAGGAGGAAGCAGGCTCCCTGCTGAGCAGAGAGCCCGATGCAGGGCCCGATCCCAGGACCCTGGGATCATGACCTGAGCCGAAGGCAGAGGCCTTAACCCACTGAGCCACCCAGGTGCCCCGTACTTCATCAGTTCTTGATGTAGTGTTCCATGATTCATTATTTGCATATAACACCCAATGTTCATTACAATACATGCCCTCCTTAGTACCCATCACTGGGCTAACCCATCCCCCCACCTGTCTCCCCTCTAAAACCCTCAGCTTGTTTCCCAAAGTTAATAGTCTCTCATGTTTCATCTCCCCCACTGATATATACAATGTGTATATAACTATCTATCTATACACACATACACACAATGAAATATTACTCAGACAGTAAAAAGAATGAAATTTTACCATTTGCAACAACGTGGAAAGAGCTAGAGTGTATTATGCTAAGCGAAATAAGTCAGTCAGAAAAAGACAAATACCATATGATTTCACTCATATGTGGAATTTAGAAAACAAAACAGATGAACCTATGCAAGGGGGGAAAAGAGAAGGAGAGGGGGAGGCAAACTATAAGAGACTCTTAATGAGAGAGAACAAACTGAGGGTTGGTGGAGGGAAGTGGGGGAAATGGCTAAATGTGTGATCAGGATTAAGGAGGGCAATTGTTGTGATGAGCTCTGGGTGTCGTATGTAAGTGAATCACTAAATTCTACTCCTGAAACCAACATACATTATATTAACTAACTCAAATTTAAACAAAAATTTGGAAGAAAAACAAAAATAAAAAATGAAAAGAAAAGAAAGTGGCTTGTTACAAAGAGGTAGAAGTGAATAATGAGATTATAAAAGGTAATATTTGGGAGGAGAAGTGCAATATGTACACTGCTATGATTTGAAAGAAAATGAACTAAGAATACTCCTTTAGTGTCCACTATTTGACTTCTTAAAAAATTTGTAATTGTTTTTATTTTTTTAATGTTATTAAAATCTAAAGAACTCAGGTAAAACAAAAGGAGTGTTAGCTCTGAATGTGTAGAAAAACAATAATAATGCCATTGGTGACATTTATTCCAGTTTTTAATGGGGACCGGTAGTCCATTGCAAGCAGCAAATAAATGTCTCAAATTCTCATCTCTGGATACCTAAAATGAAGTCTTATAAAAGGCAAAGATACAGGTAAGCAAGTAGATACCCTGCAACCCAGCAATTTCACTACTAGGTATTTATCCAAAAGATACAAAAATAGTGATTCCAAAGGGTACATGCTCTGCTCCCCAATGTTTATAGCAGCAGTGTCCACAATAGTCACCTATGGAAAGATCCCAGATGTCCATGGACAGATGAATGGGTAAAGAAGATGTGGTATATACATTAAATGGAATACTACTCAGCCACCAAAAAAGAAAGGAAATCTTGCCATTTACTACAACATGGATGGAACTAGAGGGTATACTATGCTAAGTGAGATAAGTCAATCAGAGAAAGACAATTATCATATGACCACGCTGGTATGTGGAATTTAAGAAACAAGACAGAGGACCACAGGGGAAGAGAGGAAAAAGAAAACAAGACAAAATCAGAGAGGGAGACAAACCATAAGAGACTCTTAATCATAGGAAACAAACTGAGGGTTGCTGGAGGGGAGTGGGGTGGTGGAATGGGGTAACTGGGTGTTGGACATTATGGAGGGCATGTGATGTAATGAGAACCGGGTGTTATATGTGAGAGGTGAATCACAGGCCTCTACGTTGAAACCAATAATATATACATGTTAATTAATTGAATTTAAATTTTAAAATATGTAAAAAAAAAAAACAAGTAAGCAAGTAGAAGATACCTGTGAACACATTTGTCAAAATAAGGGCTATAACTGAGATCAACCATTGCTTCTAAATCCCCTGGAGAACTAAGGGATGAAATATGTTCAGGTCCTAAAAGTCCCACTTCAAGGTCCACATAAGGATCAGAAAGCTTCAGTGAACTGGCTCCAGTTACTTCTTGTCACTTCAGGGTCAATATGTGGGCAAACCCTAGCCAAAGTCTAATCCTGTGACTGGCTGGTTTACCACACAATGTGAATGCTCATATTCCCAAGGTCTCTGGCCTTCAGGTTAGGGCACTGATAAGTAATGGCTGGGATCCTGAAACCCGGAGTGGGACCCAGATGCAGACCCTGATGAAGCTGGGGAACTTGAACGGCTAAATTCTGTGAGATGATTTGCCAGTAGAAGCAAATCTTCCTCCTGTCTGAGGAGGTTATTTCCCCTTGGTCTGAAGAAGCAGTAAGGGTCTTGCCTGAGGTAGCAGCCTTTTGGGACCCCACTGATCTGCCCCAGAAGCTATGTCCACTGCCTCCTTTTCCTTCCAAATCCCTTAACAAGTCTCATATTCCTACAGGCCAAATAGTATAAAGCAAAGTGATAGACACTTGCAGAGATAGAAAAGTCACCCAAGGATCTCCAACATTTTAAAATCCATATATACAAAATATTGGGGGATTTGCATGAAAATAGTTCTTTGTGGTGAGGTATGGAGGTAGAAGGAAAACAGAGTTGAATCAGACCACATTTATCAAGGTAGGTTTATTAAGCCCAGACTCTGGATGAAATGCACTTTTTAAAAGTTTTTATTTATTTTTTAAATTTCTTTTCAGTGTTTCAGAATTCATTGTTGATGCACCATACCCAGTGTTCCATGCAATACATGCCCTCCACAATACCCACCACCAGGCTCACCCAACCTCCCACCCCCCGACCCTCCAAAACCCTCAGTTAGTTCCTCAGAGTCCATAGTCTCTCATGGTTCGTCTCTCCCTCCAATATCCCCCAGCTCCCTTCTTTGCTTCATTGCACTACAGGGTATTTACCCCAAAGATACAGATGTAGTGAAAAGAAGGGCCATCTCTACCCCAACGTTTATAGCAACAATGTCACAGTCACCAAACTGTGGAAAGAACCAAGACGCCCTTCAACGGATAAATGGATAAAGAAGATATGGTCCATATATACTACGGAGTATTAGGCCTCCATCAGAAAGGATGAATACCCATCTTTTGTACCGACATGGATGGGACTGGAAGAGATTATGCTGAGTGAAATAAGTCAAGCAGAGAGAGTCAATTATCATATAGTTTCACTTATTTGTGGAGCATAAGGAATAACATGGAGGACATGGGAAGATGGAGAGGAGAAGTGATTTGGGGGAAACTGGAGGGCAAGACAAACCATGAGAGACTGTAGACTCTGACAAACAAACTGAGGGTTTTGAAGGGGAGAGGGGTGGGGTATTGGGTGAGCCTGGTGGTGGATATTATGGAGGGCACATATTGCATGGAGCATTGGGTGTGGTGCATAAACAATGAATTCTGGATCACTGAAAAGAAATTAAAAATAAATAAATAATTTTTTCAATGTAAAAACAAAAAATGCTTCTGCTTCAGGGTTAGAGAAGCCTTTCGTCATTTGCTTTGTTGCTGTCTTGGTGTGTTAAGGCTGCTCTAAGAAAACGCTCCAGACTGAGTGGCATAAGCAGCAAACATATTTATCACGGATTTGGATTCTGGGAAATCCAAGATCAAAGTATCAGCAGGTCTGGTGTCTGGCAAGGGCCCGTTTCCTGGATCACAGACGGCCATCTTCTTGCTGTGTCCTCACGTGTTGGAAGGGGCAAGGGAACTCTCTGGGTTCTCTTTCATAAGGGCACTAATGCCATTTATGAGGGCTCCACCCTACTGACCTTGTTATTTCCCAAAGGTTCCACATTCTAATACTATCAAATCAGGCATGAGGATTTCAACATGAGTTTCCTGGGGAGACCCCTAAAACATTTAGTCTTCCACCCTTGGTTTACTGGGCAAGTTCCAAAGGACATAAGGAGAAATGCAAGATGTTTCCTGGTGCACTACAAAGGAAGAAATCCAAAGGCTTAAGGAGATGGGAACATTAGAGTGAATTTACCATATAAGATGGTGTTCACTCACTTCCAGAGGTCCAGAGGATACTGTCATCAAGTCTGTGATAAATTGCTCTCTAAGGGGAACTCAAACATCTCGGGGAGCTCCGTGGCAGCATTTCTCTTTTCTGGTGGTCAGAAATTACTGTGAGGATCTCTGTGGTGGCATTTCTCTTCTGTATTGGTCAGAAATGACTGTGGGATTGCCCTCAAGCAAGGACCATGCTACACTGCCAAATATTTATGCTGTTAATCATTACCACAACCTTCCCCCAACGGACCTGTGGCCAAGTACTAGGGTGATGACACGTGGTAGAAAGTTAGTGAACCAAATTCTAAGAGATGATTTGATACTGGCTCTGAACTGACATTAATATTTGAGAACTACAACTTCATGGGTTACAGAAAGGCTCATGTAAGTCATGGAATCAATGTGGTTTTACCTCACGTCCATCTCAGTGATAGGTCCCTGAATCCACTGTCTGGTTATTAATTTCCTCCAATTCAGAGTTTATACTTAAAATAAGAAGATGACAGAATTCCCATGTTGGCTCTCTGACCTGTGAAACGAAGGCTACCATGGTCGGAAAGGCCAAGTAGAAGCCGTGAGAACTACCTACCTATGCAGATAGTAAAAGGAAATGCAACATTTCACCTTGGAGGGAATGGACTGATTATACAGCATTGAGATTTGAAAGGGGCAGGTCGTGATTCTAGGACATCCCTTGCAACCCACCTATATGTCTGGTCCAGAAACAGACAGACCTTGGAGAAGGACAGGAAATTATAATAATCCTCACCACATGACTATTCCAAGTACAGCTGCTTGTCTACATGTGCTTTTGTTGTTTTAGCAATCAAACATCTACCAAGGCACCCGGCATATGCTATTGAGGGGGGAAATGGTTTTTCCCCTATCAGTAAATACCACCAGAGTTTGGCTTCAGCTTGAAAGGCTGGCAATAAGCCGCTTCTTACCTCAGGGGCTGAATGTAACACAGAACTCACTGGAGTGTGGCACCCATCTTCAAGTGACCTGAAAACCTACCAGCTTGGAGTGGGGCCCAGAACAAGAAAAAGTTCTCTGATATGACCTCACGTACATTCCCAGTGACCAGTTGACTGGAAAAGAAGGAACATCATGTGTGATTTCCAGTTCTTACTTCCCAATATGCAGGCCCAACCTATTTTACACTTCTATTCCTGCATATCAATCAGCACACATTTAGCAGCTTAGAACTAGATAAATATATTCTCAAACAGTCCTGTAGCTGAGAAGTCCAGGCAGGCTTGATTAGGTTCTCTTCGTGACTGGGTCACATGGAATTGAAGTCAAAATGTTGACCATGCTGGGTCATTAACTGGAGAGTCGTGGAGAGAAACTACTTCCAAGCCCTTTCAGGTTATTGGCAGGTGTAGTTTCTTAAGGCTGTAACACTGAGGTCCCCATTTCCTTGCTGTCCCTCAGCTGAGGCCACTCTGAGCTCCGAGGACCACCCTCATACCTCCCGAGGTGCACCCCTCCATCTTCCATGCAGTAATGGTGCATCATGATCATGGAAGCGGGAATGAAGATTGTGCATGGAACATAAACATGGACTTCCACTCAGCAAGACTCATGGTGTTGCAGATACTGATGACTGCTCCATCTGCCAGCAGCACAGACCAACACTGGGCACCTGATATGGCACCATACCCCCACGGGGTCAGTCAGCTAACTACCAGTGGCAGATTGATGATCTCGGTCTGCTTCAAAAATAACTGGGGAGAGGGCAGCTCTTTGTACACGAACACACCTTTATTCTGGGTAGGGATTTCCCTTCTCACCCAGGGTACTGTATAGAACACCATGTGTGGACTTAGAAAATTCCTTCCCAACATCATGGAATTCCACACTGCATCACTTATAAACATGGAACTTGCTTCCCAGGTAACATGCTCATGGATCTCACAGCTATTATGTTTCCTATCATCCTGAAGTGATGGTTCAGTTGAACTGTGGTATGATCTTCTGAAGCCTCAGTTATGGTAGTACCATGGTGGCAGTGTCGTGTGGGATGGGGACAATGTAACCTGGGAAGTGGAATGCTCTTTCTTAGGGTCAGATAGATGGAGCTGTTCCCGTAACAGACACAACTCTTGTCTTCAGCAAGTAAAGGATAGCAGCGTAAAGACTTCTGCTCATTATTGCTGCTTATGTATCTAGGAGCAAAATTTTCTTTGTCTTCCCCACAAGGTTAGGATCAGCAAGTGGAGAAATGTTTTCAACACGTGACCTCACTGACTCCCCTGAAATGCAGATTGAGACTGCCCAAACAACCACGTTGGATTCTCATCCCTCTCAATCAATGACCAAAAATGAGGTTCCTCTGTGGTGTGGAGACATGGAACGTGACTATCAAAGGAAGCTGGATTGCCAATCCATATGGCCTAATAAGGAGTATGTGTGAAATATCTAGAGCTCTTCTTGGTACTCCCAGGTATCTGTGATTAGTTAATGGGATATTTCAACACCACAATCCAGGCAGAACACCTACTGGTCCAGACCCTCCAGGAATTAAGTTGTGAGTCATCCCCTCAGGACAAGCACCAGAACCTGCTGAGAGGTTGTCCCAGACAAAGGGAATAAGAAATAGTTAGACAGTACCCAGTCATAACTACCAGTGAGTTCCAGAGCATGCCAAGGAAAACAAAAATATTTACTTGGTGACTTAATAATATCCCCAAACTCAGTGGAAAACAAACAGAAAAACACCAGTTTAGCCATTCAGACAAAATGCTTAGGGCAAAAGCCCAACGTTTACTAACAGAAACTTGTAACATGAAAGTTGCAGTGCTTTTTCTTAGCCTCAAGAAGACAATTTCTTAGCTAACTCATGCTGGGAGGAGTCAACAATATCTGGTTGCATTCCAAGACAGCCAACTGGTTCTGTTTTCTCATTGATGATTGTGATAACAGGACTATAAGTTTAGGGAACCAATATCTTTCTTGAGATACTGGTCACATTCTAGTTTATCTAGAGCATTCCCAAGTTGATTTATTAAGTCTTGTCTTTCATATCTGAAAATAAAGAGACAAGTCGTTAACCAGATGATACCCAAAGAACCGATGTTGCAGGACGCTCTGTAGAAAATGCAAAGAGAATCTCAGTTTATAGGAGAACAAAAAAACACATATGCATGGTGAGAGACAATCCAGTAAATACAGAGAGTGCCAGTTCAAGGTCAAGGCCCACCTCAAACTCGGGTGTGAACAGAAGGTTCCTTGAGCTTGGAAGAACGACTGAGACTCATATAATATCAATCTAAAAACTGGAGACAACACGAACTCTGAGTGAGGATCAGGGTTTGAGAAAAATCAGGCAGGGCCCAACTCCACCCCTCATCAAGCAGTGCACTGGCTCTGCAGTGAAACATTACTGGACAGTTCCTCCTACACTCACCTTGCCGCTTCCTTCATGGCATATACAACAAATTTTTTCTGCACTTCTGGAGATCCTTGCATTCCTTCAAGCAATTTGAGGATATTTTCATATTCTGAAGATATTTAGAAAAAAATTCAGTATTTCTAAAGTACAAACAGGAGATAGAATTCAATCTTGGAGACTCAGAGCTCATTCTAGGGCTAGAATGTTACAGAGTACCTGTGCGTTCCATCCTTACTTTCAGACATCTGAACATACCCAGTAGTGGAATCTAGTACACAATAACCAATTAAGAAATACAAAAGAACAAGAGAAAAAGGTTTACTGGGACATTTCAGTCAAAATGAAGAGACACTATTCTAACTGGGAAAACCCAATTCTGGCAAAGGATGAAGCTCAAGATTTTATCAGTTGAATCTATTCTGATTCATAGAATGGGAATGATTTCCTGTGGTTTCATGGACAGAAATTCTTATTTTACTTACTTCCTCCAAACTGTTGAATTTCATTCCTTATTCGCTCTTTTATTTCCATATTAATTTTCACTGGTATTGGTAGTTGATCTGGCACATCTCCCAACACAGACATTGCTGTGACCTTGGGCTCATCTGCAGAGAGACAGCTGGGAATGATTCTTCCCACCACTGCATCACTACCAGGTCTGTGAATCAGCCCACCCTTGTTGACTCTGGCTACATTACGATACAAAGAATCTAATTGTGTCCTCCTGCCATACTCACAAGCTCTGGAGATCAGATTTTGACCAGAAGCCATCAGGTGGTGATCAACCACTTTCCCTCCCCTCCCCGTGGATACTGTGAATGACAGGTGCATCTGGAAACCTAACTGAATGAGGAGCTGCAATGATGTGCATTTCAACAACCCCATACGCACATCCATGTGCTTCACAGTCTCTAATATTTCTTTTCATAGCAGGAGAATGTACAAGATAGATGTATCAGGTATGAAATTTGACCTCAGGAAAAACAATACAACAAAGAAGCCTCTTCTATTCTTGTCACTACACATACACACAGAAACAGACTTGGACAATACAACTAATCAACAAACATTCACAGAGCCCTGGGACTCAGGATTCAATGTTCCCTTGATGCACTCTACAAGGGGAAGAGCTGAACGTGTCACTTGATGTCACGATGCCTGATATTAGCACTAAATCACTAGAAATCCCAGTCAGTAAATGATCTTCCTCATCTGGCTTTTTTGTCTCAGAAAACGAATTTTTTACTCCATGTTTGACATGTCTACTTCATTCACTCATGCTCCTCTGTGCCGAACATCAAGACAACAGTGGGAATCAGCAGTGAACCAGAGAGAAGAACCCTTTCCTTTTGGAAGTTATAACTACTGTGGATGTCAAAGAGTACATTACAATGAGCAAAGGGAATAACACAATTTGATTTTGTGTAAGGAAGAAGTCAGCAGGGATGTGAGCCAGAGTGGGAAAGGAAGCCTCCATGATGCCGGGTCCAGCAGGGTCTCTGAAGAGGTGACCCCTGGGCAGAGCTAGGAGCAAGAGACAGAGCTGGCTTGTGCACATGCAGAGGAGGCGGTCTGATAGCCATGAAGGCTGTGCATGGCCCCTACAAGGGGACAAGCCTGGGCCATGGAACAAAGGTCAGAGGCAGAGAGAGCAAGGAAGACACAGAGAGGACATGAGATGGCAGGAGAGGATGGCAGGGTCAGGAGGTGCAAGGTCTAGAGACCAGAGTCAGGAGCTCAGACTCTGTTCTGAGTGCTTGGGGAATTAATGATGGGTTTCAGGATATGCATGTAATGATCTGATTTCTGTGTGGACATGGTCACCCTGGGTACATGGGAATAAATGGGCCACACACATTCAGGTGGGAAAGCAGGACGTGAGCTCCGAAGCTCTGGAACAGCTTGCTGAGTGATAAGGCAGTGTGGATTGAGGGACAGTATAACGGTGGGACTCAGGAATGGTGACAGTGTTAAGAGGAGAGAAAGGAGATCAGAAAGGAGAAGGGAACCAGTAGAGTGCAGAGGCTGGGAAGCCAGGAATGTCTCCATGAAGGACAGAGTGAACACCTGGTCCAGTGTGGCTGGGAAATTAATGGCAGCCTCACCCAAAGATAGTGACCTTGATCAGAAATGACCTTGAGGCATGGAGGAGCCAGAGGCAGGGCTGCCCTGCGTCAGGTCAGGGAGGGTAGGGGAACACAGGCATCCTCACCATCTTCCGAGGACATGGCTGAGCCCTCAGGCTGGGATGATCCCTCTCCTTCCTCTCTCACTGACAGCAGAGGCATGCTCAGCCTTTTCTTAAATGGAGGTGGAGTGATGGATTTTCCAGAACGTTTCACTTGACTTTTGGGCCCAACAGCGAAGTCCTCTGCTTTATCACTCATCACTTCCTGAGGAGCATTAAGAAACATGTTCCATTAACGACAAAAAGCAACCATTCTGAAAGAGGATGGAGGTCTCTCAGGACGTTACCATAGAACTACGTTATGACCCAACATTTGTAGTACCAGGTATTTACCCAAGGAACACAAAAATACTGATTTGAAGGGGTACCTGTACCCTGATGTTTACAGGAGAATCGCCAACAGTAGCTAAACTCTGGGAAGAGCCGGACTGGTGACTGACAGATAAATGGAAAAAGAAGACATGGTGTACGTCTACAGCAGAATATTACTCTGCTGTCAACAACAATGAAATCTTGCCATGCACAATGACGTGGGTGCAGCTAGAGAGCAGAATGCTAAGCACAATAAGTCCGTCAGAGAAAGGCAAACAGCAAACGAGTTCGCTCACATGCAGAATTTAAGAAACAAACAGATGACCACGGGGTGAGGGAAAGAAGGGCAAACCAGAAAACAGACTCCTAAGTGCAGAAAACAAACTCAGGGTCGTGGAGGGGAGGTGGGCTTGGGGACATGTGTGTGACAGGGATGAAGGAGGGCACTGGTGTGATGAGCACCGGCTGTTGTACAGACGTGTGGAATCACTCAGTTCTACACCTGACACTAATAGTATCTCTATGTTACCTAAATGGAGTTTAAAGAAAAACATGAGAAAGAATGCAAGCATTCCACCTGTGGGGCCTGGCTCTTACAATCTTGTACCTTCCCTCTTCCACAATGCGTCCTGAGCCATCAGCCAGGCATTTCTTCAGCATGCACGTGGCTCCTCTGGGGGCTCTCTGACTACACCCACAGTTGGATTGCTTCCTCTGCTGACTAGGAGTGATCACCCTGTAGAAAGGTCTTTGCATCTGGGGCCCATTCTGTCACCAGATACCAGAGAAGCTGTAGAAGTCCAAGGCAGAAAGGCAGGTGAGCCAGAGCTTGAATGGGAAGGGACTCCCCTTGTGCAAGATTTTCACTTGTGGCACGGCCTGTTCATGTTAATGCGGCTACAGCATCAGGAACTTGACCTGCTTGTGCATCTCACACAGGCTGGTCAGGGAAGGCAGCACGGTCAGGCAAGAGGAGAAGGACCAGGAGTGGGGTCCGCCAGAGCAGGACCACACCTTTTCCCCTCTAACAGTGGTGTGTGCTCCAGTCCAGGTATGGCACATCTCAGCAGGCCAGTGGGATCCCAGAGGGTGTGGAGCCATGTCCCCTCACCCACAGCTGGGAAGAAACACACCCATCCTAGCTATACATCCCTTGGCAAATTCCAGAAGATCATGCTTCTCCCTCCCCCCACGGGGCTTGGTGTGCTGAGCAGCAAAGCACAGGAATCCACATCGAGAGGCAGGAAAATGGCTGTGTCCTAAGACTTCCATAGCTTTCTGAGGCTGGGTGTCTCAGCAGGGGACCCCAGCTGAGGGATGGGGTAACAAATAGACCTTACTGTGTAGTCATTCAAGGGTATTCAAACCTAGGACAGTACTGAAGTCCACCAGACCAAGGGGGTTCTACTGTTGGCAATGTAATCTGCTGCTTATATCTGCCAATCTTACGTTCTACTATCCTGCTGCCCACAGGTCGCCAAGGGTTAGGAACCTCCTCTCCATGTCATGTTCCTTTGTCTAGTTCCTTAAACCATTAATAATATGGCCAAGGGCCTGGTCCCTTCCCCAGGTTCTCTTCTGCATTTAGAAGCCACTTCATCCCAATTCTGGCTCCTCCTCATGATTGCAAAGTGGCTGCCAGGGCTCCTTAATTACCTGCTACTCAAGTCCTGTGTACCAGAGAATGAGGTTACATCATTCTGTAGCACTCCCACAAGAAGTCCTAACGTTTGCTGTGATGGAATCCTTCTGTGCACATGTCCGCCTCCAACAATCATTTTGCTCTACGGGGGGCATCAATCAGAATGTGCCAATTTCCTTGGCTCAGGCCCCAGACAGCAAATGCATAGATTGAAAGATACGACCCCCCAATAGGCTTGATCGTGGCCTCACATAGAATCCTGTATTCATTAATCAGAACATAATTTCTTCTCAAGCAGGCAAACATTGGCAATGGTGACACCAAAACCCCAATCCTTAATTTCATGTAGACTATGATATCTAAACAAATTGAAATTAAAGAAGTACTTCTTACCAACACAACGAAAGGTACTCCAAAAGTTTGTAACATGCTTCTAAATCAATACTCACTATTGAACTCTAAGAAAACATCACATGACTGATTCTGTGGGACACATGAAATGGGGGCGGGGGGGAAGCTTACAACTTCACATTCTGTTAGAAAAGAAACACTGCTGCAAATGAATGAGGTCTGTCCATGGAGGAAGAGGCAAAAAGACTATAGTGAGAGCTATGCTGTGTTCTGACACTTGTGTCTCCCCAACAGCCTGTGTTGAAATCCAAACCCCCAGGGAAGCTGATATCCGGAGGCATCCACGTCCTTTGGCGGGTGCTGAGGTGCAGACAGTGGCCCACTCCTGAACCGGATCAGTGCCTCAGAAAGGAGGCTGCAGAGACCCCGAGCCCTCCCACAGGGCAGAATGAGGGCGCCTGACCCTGAACTAGGCCACCGACCTTCCTAGATCACCCTGGTGTCGGCAGCCTGGTCCTGGTGTCCCAGCCTCCCCAGCCCTAGGCAACACATTTCTGTCCCTGCCACCTTCCCAGTTTCTGCCATGTTGCTATGGCAGCCTGAACAGACCAAGATGGCTCTTTCACATGATTATCGAGGACAGTCTAGCCACAGATAAACAACACTAAGCCACCAAGCAGGAGTCCGAGCCCTGCATTCAGAAGGGAGCTCTGTGAAAGACAGCAGGGACACCCAGAATGACTTTATACCAAATTTGGGAACTGAGATGACATAGACACTTTCCTAGAACAAGGAAACATTCCAAAAGTCACCAAGAAGAAACAGAAAATCTGAACACCTAAAGGCTTTCTTTGAGGAGTGCTTCAGACATTCCGGAGGGATAGAATACCAGTATGCAAACTCTTTCAGAAAAGGGAAGAAAGGGTGTGAGTTCCCTACTCATTTTGTGATGCCAATATAAATGTGTTACTAACATCTACCAAAAACACTGGAAGAAAAGGAAAATGAAAGACCCAGATCTCTTTCCTGAATATAGACACACAACTCCTCAACAATAGTGAGCAAATGAAAGTACACAGGACATAAAAAAAAAAAAAAAAAAAAAACAAAGGTCATGGGGTTGTTGGGTCTATTGCTGGAAGGAAGACTGGTTTCACCCTGGAAAATTTATCAGTGAAATGTGCTACATAAACAGCCAAAACCGGGGAAAACGCACAGCGCCACTGCAATAAATGGGTTGATGCTGGATACTTACTCATGGTAAAAATCCTCAGCAACTTCGGATGAAAAGCAACTTCTTTAACCTAAGAAAGCTTCTCTTTCCCCCTCACACCCCCCACAAAATGTACACAAATGTTGTATTTAATGATGACCCAACTCTTTTTCTTGAGTTTTAAATAAGACATGGTGTCTGCTGGGTTTTCAAGAACACACTGGAAGAACTGAAAACTGTCACATTTTGGAGAAGAAGGACTGAGGTTGTCATTGTCCGCAGTGGACATGTTCTATATGTAGAATATCCGAAATACCGAGAATTAGTAAGTGTACAACAGCCAAGTTACTGGATGCAAGAGCAAGAATCAAAAACATGTGTATTTCTGTGTAATAACAATCCGATTAGAAAAAGATATTTAAAATACCATTAGAACAGTGTCAAGCACATCAAGGGGCACCTGGCTGGCTCAGTCAGTGGACGGTGAGACTGTTGATCTTGGGGTTGTGTGTCCAAGCCCCATGTTGGGTGAAGAGATTACTCACAAGTAAAATATTAAAAAAAATCAAAACCCATAGAATAAAGCTACCCACAGGTGTGCTGAAGCACTACCCGTGAAACATAAACCTGATGGACAGAAATCAAAGGCCTCAGTAAATGGACCGTGCGGATACATCCATACCGTGTGGATGGGCAGACTCGTTATTAAGTCATTATTGCCAATTCTGCCCAGAATAATTATTGCATCATGCTTAAATGTAAGTAATTTTTTATTTAAAACTTTAAAAGCTCCCTGTTAACATTGGGGATAACTCATGAGCTGATACTACAGAGTATATGGATATCGAAGGGCCTAGAATAGCTGAGACCCTATTTAGGCAAAAGCACCAGGTTGGGAGACGCACATGGCCAGACAGCAGACGTAGGAGCCATAACAACGCTGTGGGGTTGGAGCAAGGGTGGGTGGATACACCAGTGAGACAGGACAGGGAGTCTAGACATAACTCTGAAAACAGCGGATGCTAGATTGCTGACACCGGGGCCTTCAAGCCTTTGTGGTCCATTCAGTAAGTCCACCTGCTCCCTGCGGGGAACGGCAATTCTGCTCTGATCCCTTTCCTGTCCATATAACACTGATCTCCCATGAATAGGAGAGCTAGAAGGACATGTAGGATATTACTTTCATGGTTTTAAAAGGTAAAGCTTTTAAAAAGAATGAAAGCACTGACCATGATGAATAAATCGACTAATTAGACTTAATTAAACTGAGAATTTCGGTGCATCAAAAATATACTAAGATGGCAATGACTTAGGGCACCTGTGTGGCTCAGTTGTTTAAGCATCTGACACTTGACTTTGGATGAGGTCATGATCTCAAGGTGGTGAGATTGAGCCCCAACCTGGGCTCCAACCTGGGCTCTGTGCTGGGTGGGGAACCTGCTTATGATTCTCTCTCTCCCTCTCCCTCCGTCACTCCCTGCTTTTTGTGTGCATGCCTTCTCTCTCTCTCTCTCTCAAAAAAGAGAGTGACAAAACAAAACAGATCAGCAGAAGACACAGAAAATTATATTTTTAAATATAGGTATAAATATAAATATATGTTGAACAGCAAATCAATTTTAAAACTACCAATATCTCATAAGTCGAGCAGAGAGAGTCAATTATCCTATGGTTTCACTTATTTGTGGAGCATAACAAATAACATGGAGGACACGGGGAGACGGAGAGGAGAAGGGAGTTGAGGGAAATTGGAAGGGGAGGTGAACCATGAGAGACTATGGACTCTGAAAAACAACCTGAGGGTCTTGAAGGGGCGGGGGGTGGGAGGTTGGGGGAACCAGGTGGTGGGTATTAGGGAGGGCACGGATTGCATGGAGCACTGGGTGTGGTGGAAAAAAAAAGAAAACCTGTAACGCTGAAAAGAAATAAAAAAAAAACCTACAGATATCTCAGTAAGATGTGGATGCACGTCCTGGAATGTCTCTTCAAAAGACGTACATGAACCATAAAGCACATTAACCAGTACAAAATGCACATGTAGACATAACGAGAGGCCCCCGCACACCCACCAGGGCACTGAGATTGAAGACGCCCTATAGCAAGTGTTTCAGAGTATGGAAGGCAACCAACTCTCTCATATACTGTCAGCCCCAGATTCCCACTTGGATGACCACGGCCACCCACAGAAGGTTAGATAGAAGCCCTGCGAGACTGAGATACAGAAACCCAGGGAAACTACTCCACCCCAGGCTGAGACAGAGCATCCAAACAAGAGCAAACCACCCCAAAGTGCACGAGAGCCCCCGACTAAGAATTCACCCCAAAGGCTGAGTGAGACAGACCACACGAGGGAGAATGCACCCCCTGAGCAGAGCCCCCAGAATGCTCCCCAGCCACGGCTGAGACAAGGTAGCCGAGGAAGAGCAGCCCACCTCCATAAGGGGGACCAAGTGCCCAAGGCACCCTCCACCCAGGGCTGGGAGAGCGCACTCAAGGAGAACCCCCCTTCTGGGCAGAGATGGACCTTCCGAGGAAGAGTCTTGGCTCCCCAGACCGCAGCGGGAGCGCCAAGAAAGAGCCCAAACCCCCAGTGCCGAGCAAGCACCCAAGGTGAAGTTCTCTCCCGGCCACGCCCGGCTCAGACGGATTCCCCCGGGACAGCTTCCCAATCGTCTTAAAGCATCGGAGGAACAGCACCCCCATAGGAGGGGACAGAGCCCCCACGAAAGCCTCCCCAGGACTAAGAGTCCCCACCAGGGACCAGCAGAACACCACAGAAGCCCAGCCCCACCATGGCTGAGACAGAGCACCCCGGGAAAATACCCCCTCGTGCTGAGCTACACCCCAAGGCGAGTCTCTCGCAGGCTGAGGTAGAAGCCCTCAGGGACACGAATCCGAGGGCTGAGCTGGTGCACCCCAGGAACCATCCCCCTCACGGAGCTTGAACGGAGAGCCAGGAACCACTCCCCCCGTCCCTCACTTAGGACTGAGGTGATCACCCAAGGACAAGTCCCCTCACCAGTGCTGAGAGAATGACGTAAGCAAAGTCCCTCACAGAACTCAAGACACCACCAAGGACGGCCTCGTCTCCAACATGGCTGACACAAGCTGCCCAGAAAATGCCTCCCCTGTGCTGACGTCAGAACCCACCCATGTCTCTCCACAGAGCTGAGGTAGATCCCCCAGGAAGACACCGAGGCCAAGGGAGAGGCACCCCCAGGGCACAGAGAGAGCGCCGGGGAAAAAATATCCACTCTCCCAGGGTTAAAATCCTGACCTTGTCCCAGGCGCCCAGAAACAAGAATGGCCGTGACGTTGTGGTGCCTCTCAGGTGGGACTTTACAGAAAGGTGCCCCCTGGGAAATCTCTGGACATCCGCCCCCAGGGGATCTGGGAGTGGTGCGCACAGACAGCTGTCCGGCCAGAAGGCCGATCTACTTATTTTTACCGCCCCGGGGAGGTGTAAGGGCATTTACAGGCCTTGGCGGGCTGTTGGCCACACTGCCCTGCAGCAGCCCGACCCCCCGAGAAGCTGTGTGCGGTGCGGAACCGAGTGCTGGAGAAGCCTGTTGTCCCCCCAGGGGCCAGCTGTGCCCGCTGCCCAGAACCGGGAAGCAAGTCTTTCCGGCCGCGGCTCAGGCGCCCCCTACAGGCAGACCTCGATCACACAGGCCACAAGAAAATACACTTCTAGGAACCAGAACTCTTACATTGAGGCCGCAGCGTTGAGTTTCAAGATGAGAGTGGATCAATGAAAAACTGGCCCACTGTTTTAACAGAAAGAGAGGAGGATGATTTAATCTTCACAATCATGAGGAAAAATTAAATACATTTCATAAAATTTTTTCTACACAAATCTGCTTTGCACCCTATTTCTGGGGAGAATCATTGGAAGTATTTCTTGCACATAAAATGATAGCAAGAGAAGATTACGCACTGTCATCCCTATTATTCAACACTCCCTACAGGGGTCCTGCTTGGCACTTTAAGATGGTGCACAGGGCTGTGCACAGAGAGAGCTCTCAAACTGTGAGAACTGTTGGATGAGTCCTAGGAATGGTGCTTTTGAGGAAGTCACCAGGCACGTCAAATAGTGACAATTGTCTGGGAATGGAGATTTGTGGGGAACTCCAATCAGTTTAGTCCCTTCCAGTGGCTGACAGGTCGTTGGTGTTCTGGGCTACTATGGACGTGAGGTCATTGGTTTCAAGGCTACCATGGAGCTGAGGAGGGGTGGTGATAACAGCAGAAAGCTCACTCTTCCTACTGGGATGGACCCATCTTTTGTGAGTGAATGCACTTTCAGTTGTTGCCCTGTTTGGATTAATTTATGCACAGTTCCGAAACCAGTTAATTAGGGAGGATTTGCCTGTGTTCTCATTGCTTGTGTGCTGGAGTGGATTTTCACAAGCTCTTCCTCCACCAACCCAGACGTGTCTCCTCATATAAGCTACATCTTAAATGAGGCTTAAATCATGCATCTGACTGTAAATAATTTATATTGCTTTCCTTTTTGTTCTGGAAGGAAACTAGTATAAGCAGTGCCTGCATATTAGAAAACTACCTGTAAACCAAGCCTCCTGAATTGCTTCTCTACACAACTGGTTCTGTGAAATGCACATGAGGACATGGGTACAGATTCAGAGAGTGTACTGGTTTTTAATTTTGTGTAACAAATTACCCAAATTCAGTCGCTCCAAAGTTTCCCCCAAACATAGTAGGTGAAAACCATTTCTTCCTTCTTCCACCATTACTCTGTAGCTCTGAATTCAGGATCATCTTGACTGGGGTCTCTGCTTCAGGACTTGAAAAGTTGAAATCATGATTATGGCCAAGCCAAGTCATACTGTGGAAGGCCTGCGGTGACACTGGCCTCCACCTCCTGTTGGGATTGTAAGCACAACCCAGTTTACTGCCACGTCAGAGTATGTTCCTTGATTTCTCAATGGCCATGAGCTGCAGGCCCTTCTCACCTCTCAGAGCCTGTCATTAGGTCTCCCTCTTGGGGTCCTGTCACCTTAGAGGCGTCATGAGCACAGGCCGCATTGTCCTCATGCAAAACTCTCCTTACTTGTAAACGTGTAGTTTCATACAGGAAGGTGGGCAGACAGCAATCAAAGTAGAGAACAAAGCAGTTGAATATTTTGGAATGACATTAGTGGTTGATGTGTTTGTGCATAAAATATTTGAGCTCTTAAAACATCCTCAGAGATGACTGAAAGTCCAAATGCTTTCATATTTTAAAACTGAATTGAATTCATAGGTCATTATAACATTGAGACCATATATATTCTATACTATTGATATAGCTGCTAAATTAGCTCATTAAAAAAAAAACTTCTGTGTCCTCTTTCTCTTATAAAATTAAAAACAAATGTTTCAAGCTTCTAGGAAAATATGTTAAACGTGGCATGTTGTTGAGAATAAAAGAAGCAAAATGTGTATTCTTGTCTCTTGATTGTACACCAGATTTGACTCATCCCAATCAAAATTTATGATTATTATGTATGATCACACTAAGAATAATGTCACAACAGTAAATAGTTTTATTGACTTGGTTGAAATGAAGAGAAGCTGATCACTGGGGTGCCTGAGTGGCTCAGTCTTTTGGGCATCTCCCTTCAGCTCGGGTCATGATTCCCAGCTCCTGCGATGGAGCCCCAAAGGCAGATTCCCTGCTCAGAGGGGAGTCTGCTTCTCCCTCTCCCTCTGTTGCTCCCCCTGCTTGTGCACGCTCTCTCTCTCTCTCTCTCTCTCTCTCAAATAAATAAATAAAATCTTTTTTTTTTTTAAAGCTGACCACAGCCTAGGAGATACAAATTTTCATACACTGTAAGATGATGACATTGGCATTAAAATGCACAGGACAGAGACACGATAAGGGACCAAGTATGACAGGTACATACAAGTGTGCATAGAGGTCATTATGCCCACAGAAATGATTGTGTCAAATTTGTATCTTGATGGACTCAATTTTTGATGAAAACAACTGGCTGAGTAATATTCTTTCTGTCTGTGAGATAAAGTGTATTTGAGTACAAATGGAGACATGATAAGGCATCAGACCAAAGGCAATCAAGATACAATTGCACACACATTAGGGACTGCCACAAAACTTCTGTAATTTTTATTCATTTATTTATTTGAGAGATAGAATGCGTGCATGCTAGTAGGGCATGGGGAGTCTCAGAGAGAGAGAGAGAGAGACAGAGACAGAGAAAATCTGAAGCAGACTCTCTACTGAGTCCAGAGCCCAACGCAGGGCTCCGTCTCATGACCCTGAGATCATAATCTGAGCCAAAACCAGAAGTCGGACACTCAACCAGCTGAGCCACTCAGGCACCCTGAGACTTGTACAAAGTTTTAAAAGGTATGATATCAGATGACATAAAGACATTATACCAAATCAAATGCATATCGTCAAATGGACTACAATTTCTTACATAACTTGTATAGGCAGGATCATATTATGAACAAAATTGAGAAAGTTAATAAAGCTCTACAACCATAAACCATGACTGTGTATGAAGCCATTTGCTTCTAAAAAGGTCTATTCTCTTGATTACGTGAATGAAAGAAAGTAACTTTGAAAGTGTGTTTGATGCCTATGTAGCCATAGCAAAGATGGGAATATATTTCTTGAGTACCCAGTGAAGGGAAGATAAGTATAGAACTTAGAAATGCACAAATCACCACGTGCTAGATTTAATTTTTAAGGGGGGAGTACATATCAAATAGAAATTAGGGAGTAAAAATGTACTAATTTCACATTCAAATGGAGATATTTCAAATTAAATGAAGGGTCCTCAAGGTTTGGAATTTTTAACAGAAAAGCATTACTCTGTATGACTACATCTGATTTACAAAAAGAAGTGACTGCTGTGATTCATAGAGGTGATGACAATGAAAGTTCTGTAGAAATTTCATCGATAGCTATTAGTTTAAAGCAGAGACAGTAACTGGACTTTATAACATATCAGAATTGTGTTTGGATCTTAGAAATCTGATTCGTGAATTTTCCTTTGTCCACTCTTGTCAAAATGTAGTAGTCTTGTGATTTTTTTTAAAGATTTTATTTACTTGACACAGAGAGAGAGATCACAACTAGGCAGAGAGGCAGGCAGAGAGAGAAGAGGAAGCAGGCTCCCTGCTGAGCAGGGAGCCCGATGTGGGGCTCGATCCCAGGACCCTGAAATCATGACCTGAGCCGAAGGCAGAGGCTTAACCCTCTGAGCCACCCAGGCGCCCCAGTCTTGAGATTTTTATTGAACAACACCAGTCACAGCAGCATCCTGCAAAAGAACTTCCAGTAAGCTGAAGTTAAATAAAGATTATTAGAGATCATCAGTTGGCAGGAGAGGTTGGCACACATGGCAATTTGCCTATCAAAAAAGACATTGGCAAAGAAGTATAGGTTGAAAATATGATTGATGAGTTTGCTACCATGAAACCCAGAAAGTCAAATTATAGTAAATTCTATTTGGGTACAAAAATATTCAAACTGAAAATAATATTGTGAGTTAAGGTACACATATCTTTCAATTTTACAATACCTTTTCAATGACTTTCAAAAATACATTTTTACTTCCTTAATTCCAATATAATTAACATAGTGATAAATGAGTTCTAGGTTCATATAGTGATTCTTTGATTCTGTACATTACTCACTGCTCATCATGATAAGTGGACTCTTAATCCCCTTCACCTATTTCACCTACCCCCCTCCTTTTGGTAACCACCAGGTTGTTCTCTATTCTTAAGTGTCCGCTCTTGGTTTGTCTCTTTTTTTCTTTGTTCATTTGTTTTGTGTCTTAAATTGAACATATGGGGGAATTCATGTTATCTGACTTTTTTTGACAAATGGATAGAGAAGATGTGGTATATACAACTGAGGGTCTTACTTTAGATGGGACGACACAGTGCCTCTCTGAGGAGGTGACATTTAAGGAGAGAGAGGAAGGATGACAAGACTTTGGAAGGGAGGGGCGCCTGGGGGGCTCAGTGGGTTGGGCCTCTGGCTTCAGGTCTGGTCGTGATCTTGAGGTCCTGGGATCGAGGCCCACATGGGGCTCTCTGCTCAGAAGGGAGCCTGCTTTCCCTATCTCTTTGTCTGCTGCTCTACCTCCTTGTGATCTCTCTCTGTCAAATAAATAAATAAAATCTTTTTTTAAAAAAGACTCTGGAAGGGAGATTGAGGAAGGGGGAAGTCCACTGCAAAGGCCCCCAATGGGTGCAGGCTGCCACGTGCAGAGAAGCTGCAGGCCAGGGTGGCTGTAGTGCAGGGATGGGGGTGGGGAGGTGAGGGTCCTGAGGGTCCTGAGTGTGCTTCATGTTTGTACATGAATCTTTTCAACTGGCCCTTCCATGATTGCACTTGCCAGTCCTACATGGCTGAACGGTTCAAGGTCATGGTTAAAAGGTTAAAAGACTGGAAGAGATTATGCTGAGTGAAATTAGTCAAGCAGAGAGAGTCAATTATCATATGGATTCTCTTATTTGTGGAGCATACGGAAAAACACAGAGAACACAGGGAGATGGAGAAGAGAAGGGAGTTGGGGGAAATTGGAGGGGGAGATGAACCATGAGAGACCATGGACTCTGAGGAACAAACTGAAGGTTTTAGAGGGGAGAGGGATGGAGGGATGGTTGAGTCTGGTGGTGTGTATTAAGGAGGGCATGGGTTGTATGGAGGACTGGCTGTTATATGTGAACAACGAATCTTGGAACACTACATCAAAAACTAATGATGTATTGAACAGTGACTAATACAACACAATTTAAAAAAAAGAAATTGTCTGCCTAGGAGCACTCAGCCTTCTGTACTGGTCACTTAAATTGGGAAGGCCTTGTGCTGCACTGGAGATGACAGGCGGTCTTGTCATGCACTTAATGAAATTAATATAAAGAAACCTCAGTAAGTTGGGGTACAGAGGCCGGGAAGGGTGCTCTAATACCCAATCATCTGAGACCAATTGTGAATCCAACAAGAAGAGAGGAATCTTGCAAACCCAAACTACTTCAGACACTGCTTTACTATCTTAGCGGGAGGAAGAAAGATCTTCTTCCTCCACCCCAGCAACAGCCCTGCCTATGACAGACAGGTACTAGCTCAACCAATGAGGAAGAGTCACAGCTCAGCTGATACGATACAGTCACCACCCAGCCAATGAGAAACTGTCACAACTCAGCCAATGACTTATAGAGCCCAGCCAATGAGGGACATTCACAGCTTACCCAATGAGAGACAATCATAGTCAAAACAAGGAGAGATTATCACACCTCAGCCAACGAGGGAGTCGCAACCCAGCCAATGAGGGACAGTAGTAGCTTAGCCAATGAGGGACACTCACAGCCCAGCCAGTGAAGGGCAGTCACAGCCCAACCAATGAGAAGTCACCCAACTTCCAAATCCCAGTTTCCTCCAGTGGACTTTTTGATTACAACTGCCCCCTCTCAGTGATAAAAGGGTCTTCATCTTCTTTGTTCTCTAGGACCTGCCTATGGTTTTCTTGTAGCTTGCTTGTTATGGATTGTTATTCTCTGCTTCTCCCAAATAGATGCCTTTGCTGGCAAAATAACTGACAGGGTTTGTCTGTTTGTTTTTTTTAAAGATTTTATTTATCTATTTGACAGAGAGAGATCGCAAGTAGGCCGAGAGGCAGGCAAAGAGAGAGGGGAAACAGGCTCACTGCTGAGCAGAGAGCCCGATGTGGGGCTCGATCCCAGGACCCTGGGATCATGACCTGAGCCGAAGGCAGAGGCTTTAACCCACTGAGTCACCCAGGCGCCCCAAGGGCTTGTTGTTGTTGTTTTTTTTAGGTTTTTATTTATTTGACACAAAGAGAGAGATCACAAGTAAGCAAAGAGGCAAGCAGGGAGGGGGTGAAGAGAGAGAGGGGGGAAGCAGGCTCCCTGCTAAGCAGAGACCCTGATGTGTGGCTCGATCCAAGGACCCTGAGCCAAAGAGTTTAACCCACTGAGCCACCCAGGCACCCCAATAACTGACAGTTTTATTTTTTAGGTTCCCAACTTCTTCACTTGGGAAGGGAAAGTCCTGGCACTTGTTAGTCTGTAGATCTCAGTTTCGTAAGGAATCCAGGTTCCCTTCGTGAAGCAGGGGCACGGTGTTGTACCATTCTCAAGAGCACAGGCCATGGCCTGAGGAACAGTGGGATTTACTCTGGCTTCAGCTCCCAGCCAGCTGTCGGACCTTGAGTAAGGACAGGCTCTCTAGGGGATCAGTGTCCTCAGGTGTTAAGTGGAAATCATGGCCTCTGCCTCCTAAGGTGGCTGTGGTGGTTGTGGTGAGGAGGATGGTAAGAAACCAAAGCCCACCCTGGCACATTTGAGGTGCTCTGGAAAGGTTCTGCTTGGGTTTGGTGCTGCCTATAGGAGACAGGCATGACCCAGTACCTCAGAGAGGCTACAGGCTCTGGGCCAGAGAGAAGTACAGGGTGGGCCATTCACTGGGGGCCAGTGATCTCATTTGGGGAACACAGAGAAAGCAGACTCCCCTGTGGGTCAGAGATTAGTGGAGGGACTGAATTTTAATCCTGTCTGACAGGGTAGCTCTTCCTGGAAATCCTCAGGGCTAAAGAACTGAGGGAGAGCCTGAGGCAGGTGAAATCTAGGCCCTCCCTCTCCTTGGATCTTCTATCAGGGAGGGAGAGTGAGCAGAGAATGCCCCAGATCCATAGTCAGATGACAAATAAGGACCACAGACTGTGGGCCAGGGGTAGCTGGAGGCTGTGGAGTCTGGGGAAGTACTGGAGGAGTGGAAAGAACTTAGCTTCAGGCCTGAGCTGGCCCTGAGTGATTGCTCCGGGTCCACCCATGAGCATATATTGCTCATGACCTGGGGCTATGTACCTAACCTCTTTGTGTTTCCACATTCCCCTACTGCAAACTGAGGTTCCTGACAGCATCAACCTCACAGGCTGGTCCTGAGGATTAGAAATAATTCATTTGGTATTTGCTAGAAACTCTGTAAGTGGCACCTGTTTTCTAGGTTGGAGAGAACAGTGAACTAGACACTCTTTCATGGATCTTCCATGAGACACTAGACAAGTAGCACAACTGTCGTGTAGTGGTATGTACTCTGCACAAAGTAAAAATTGGATGGAGAAATGCAAATGGGTGGACAGCCACTTTAATCGGGCTGTCAGGGAAGGCCTCCCTGAGGAGGAGACATCTAACGTGAATCAGAGTAACGGGCCTTGGCAGTTAGTCCTTTGGGAGGGCCCTGGCTTCTAGCAAACACCCTCTTCCCCAAGGTAAAAGGAAAAGGTACACTCATGGGCATCAGTAGGTCGTTGTGGGGCATGAGGCTCATGTCTGTGGCTTCCGGCCTGCTCCTGATCTCTTGTTTCTGAATTCCTGCTCTGCTCCAGCATCAGATAAAGATGCAGTCCAACAGAGACCCGCGAATGATCAAGGACCATTTCATGACATCCTTTCCCTGTAACAAATCCAAAAGGCATAACATTCGCCAAGACTCTGGTAACTAATTTTTAGGGGGGAGCACAGGCATCTGTAAAGACCTCTGTGTGGCTCTTTTCTTCTCTGTTGGTCAGATATTACTGTGGGCTTGCCCTTGAGGAAGGACCATGCTACACTGCCAAATATTTATGCTGTTAACTGTTACCCCAAACTTCCCCTGATGGATCTGTTGCCAAGTACTAGCATGACAGTGCACAGTGGAAAGGTTAGATACTAATCAGAATTCTTGAAGATTATTCAATCCTGGATCAGAATGACACTAATTCCAGGAGACCCAAAGCATCACTGTGGTCCATCAGGCACAGAGAGGGACAATGGAAGTCAGGTCATTAATGGAATTTCACCTCAGTACAATCTCTCAGTGGTCTCAGGTTTCCACTAACCCACCCAGTGACGATTGGTGGCACCATCAAGAATTTGGAAGATGCATGGTGGTAATCCTGAACAAGTCCTTTTCGTCTTACCTATTTTACATGTGCAGGACGTATAGATCTTGGAGAATGACAACGAAATATAAACTTAGTTGGTTGTTGACTTCAATTACAACAGCTGTGTCACTTGTGGCTCCATTGTGTTAGCCATCAACACATTCCTGGCATCGGGTTTATCTATTTGGTTGAGCAAATGCTTTTTTCTCTCTCTTTTAGAAAATATCACCAGAAAGACCTTGCATTCAGCTGGAAAAGGCTCCATCGCTTCCTACCTCATGCTTATATCAACTCTCTGAGCTAATGTCAGAAACTGTTCCTTAGGGACCTTGATCACCATTCTCTTGTAACAGACACCACACTGTTCCTTTCATTGATGACATCATTGTGATGGAGAAGTAGAAACTAATAGACACATTGGCAACACACTTGAAAGACAGAACACAGGAAATAATTCTTACATGAAATCAGAGGCATTGCAACATAGTGAAATGTTTACAGATTTAGTACTTTGGGGCAGGACAAGATTGTGCTTCTACAGTGAACAGCAAATAGACAAATCTCAGTTTTCTTACCATTAAAAAAGAGACACAGCAAAGGGTAGGTCTATGAGGTGCTGGTGATAGCACATATGTTTATATTCTCGTGATACTAGAACCCCTGACAAGTGACCTGAGAACTGGCTAGCTTGGAGTGGGGCCCAGAAGAATAAAGTTCTCTGACCCTACATCTATGGCCTCATAGGGAGCTCCGTGTGACCACTTGACAGAAAAAGAAAAACCATCATGCCTGATTTTCAGTTGGGACAATCAATCCAATATGCAGACATTTGTCCATATTAGTTCTCTTTTTTTTAATTTAATTTTATTTTTTCAGCATATCGGTTTTCTTTTACCCCATTATATACTTTCTTTTTTTGGTAGTTTTATTTTTTTCCAGTATTCCAAGATTCATTGTTTATGCACCACACCCCGTGCTCCAGGCAATACATGTCCTCCTTAATACCCAACACCAGGCTCACCCAAACCCCCATCCTCCTTCCCTCCAAAACCCTCAGTTTGTTTCTTAGAGTCCACAATCTCTCATGGTTCATCTGCCCCTCCAATTAGTAGTACATAATATGTTACCCCATATTTAGCAGTGTGAAATGACACAAATGTATGATCAAGGAGTTCCATAGGTCAGAACCTCAGGCAGGCTCAATTGGGTTCTCTGCTTAAGGTCTCACGCAATTGAACTCAAGGTTTTGGCCATGCTAGGTCATTAATTGGAGACTCAAGAGAGAGAAACCACTTCCAAGCCCTTCCAGGTAATTGGCACCTCTAGTTTCTTAAGGTTGGAGGACTGTGGTCCCCTTTCCTCTGCTGTCTCTAGGATAAATCTACTCTGAGCTCCTAGAACCACCTTCACACATCGCTACGTCCACCCCTCCATTGTCCAAGCAGTAATGATGCATCATGGTCATGGAGGCGAGGATGTATTTATGCATGGACCATAAACATGAACATCCACTCAGCAAGACTGATGGTGTTGCAGATACCGCTGACTGCACCATCTGCCAGCAGGACAGACCAACACTGAGCACCTGATATGGCACCATACCCCCAGGTGGTCAGTCAGCTAACTACCAGTTGGCAGACTGATTATTGTGGTCAACATTCATTAGGGAAAGGGAGCTCTATGTACTCCAATAGACATTGATTCTTGATATGGATCTTCCTTCCACCCATAGATATTTGAGGAAACCAGCATTCATGGATTTAGAAAACGCCTTATCCACTGTTATGGTATTCCACACAGCATCACATATAAACAAGGAAATAGCTTCTCAAGGCACATGCTTATGGAATTCAGTAGGTTTATTAGCTACCTCATAATCCTGAAGTGAAGGCTTCAAAAAAGTCCTGGAATGATCTTTTAAAGCCACAGCTATGGTTCTAACATGACAGCAGTACCTTGAGGGGGGGGGTAATATAACTTAGAGGATGTCAATCCTCTACCACATTGGCCAGTATATGCAGATGTCTCTCCCATAGACATGATTCGCACCTTTATTAATGAAGGGATGGCAGTGTGAGGGACTCCTCTCACTATTACTCTTATGTATCCAGTAGCCAAATTTTGCTTCTAGTCCCCACAACCTTGGGCTTTCCTGCACTGCATGTCTTTATCCAAAGGAGAAATGCTTTCCACAAGAGCCCTAACAATAACCCAATTGAAATGGAAATAGACTCTGCCAAGGGGTCAAGCTGGAGTGCTCCATTCCCTTGATTAAGGGAGTGGAGCCTGATTGCCTGATGATTTCAGGCAAACTTGGGGGTCCTACGCAGTATGGGGAGATGAACCCTGACTGGTAAGGACACAGGACTGCCATGACACAAGGCGCTGAGGAGGACTATGTGCACAATGTTTGGGTTTTTCTCAGCACTCTCATGTTGGTGATTAAAGGAAAATTACAGCAATTCAGTTCAGGCAGGACATCTAATGGCTGGGTTCATTGGTAACTAAGCTGCGAGTCATCCCCTCAGGCCAAGCCATGTGACCAGCTGAGGGGCTGTCTCAGGCAAAAGGAAAAGAAACGGAGACTGTATAGGGTGCTGGCTGGCTCAGTCAGTGGAGCACACGACTCTTGAACTCAGGGTTGTGAATCAGGCCCCATGTTGTGTGTAGAGGTTACATAAAATATAAAATTTTTAAAAAGTGGCTAGTGTAGAAGACAAGTATAAATATGAGCTACAGGCCTGTGACCTGCTGAGAAGCGAGGATACACTGTAGGCCAGTGACTTCAGGGCATTCCTCCACTTCAGGGTGAAAACAAACAGACAAATAACAAATTATCTTTTTAAATGCATTGTTAAAGCAAACTTTACTAACAGAAATTTATAACATTAAAGTTCCAAAGCTTTTTCATAACCTCAAGTAGATAATTTTCTTAACTAACATGTATTGAAAGGCATCACCAATATCCAGTGCCACTCTAAGATTCAACTGGTTCATGTTACACATTGATAACTTGAAAACAGAATTATAAGTTTGGGGTGCAATTATCTTTCTTGAGAAGGTGGTCAAGTTCTAATTTTTCTGGTACCTTCTGCAGGTGCCTTATTAAGTTTTGTCTTTTAAATCTGAAAATAAAGAGACAAGTCATTAACCAAAAGACACCCAAAGAACCATAATGTGGAAGGCACTGTGGGGGACAGAAAGGGAATTCACAATCTACAAGGGAATAGAAAATGGACCATTTTGGTGAGGGACAACCCAGCAAACACAAAGAGTATCAATATTTTGAGGTCTTGTCCTACCTCAAAATCCAGTGTGAACACAAGTCTTCTTGAACTTGGAAAAGTGAGGGAGACTTAGATAATATCAATCTAATAACAGCAGAGAAAACATGAAATCTGATTGAAGACTACGGTTGAGAAAATGCAAGCAAGGCCCAACCACACCCCTCGCCCAGCACCACACTGGGCCCCGCTGTGCTACAGAGTTTCTCTCTATACCCACCTTGCTGTTTCCTTGACGGACAATAAAACAAAATTTGTCCTGCAGTTCTACAGATCCTTCCATTCCTTCAAGCAATTTGAAGACCCTTTCATATTCTGGAGATATATGGGGGGGGGGGAAGCCCTTCAATATCTCTAAAGTATGAAGAGGAGGTAGAACTCAATCTTGGTGTCTCAGCAATCACTCAAGAGCTAGAATGTTACAGAGTATGTGTGCTTTCCATGCATTCATTCAGACACCCGAACATATCCACCAACGGAACTCTAGTACACAATAAACGATTAAGAGATATAAAAGAATGACAACAAAAAACGTTTACTGGGACATTTCAGTCAAAATAAAGAGAAACTGTCCTAAAGTATGTGAAAACACAATTCTGGCGAAGGATTAGCTACAAGACCTCAGTTGAATCTAGTCTAAATCACAGAATGGGAAAGACTTCATGTAGTTTCACTGCTAAAAATTCTTATTGTACTTACTTTGTCCAAATCGTCGAATTTCCTCCTTTAATTGAAGTTTCATTTCAGCACTAATTTCCACTGGTATTGGCAGTTGATCTGGCACATCTCCCAACACAGACATTGCTTTGATCACGGGCTCATCTGCAGAGCGATAGCTGGGAATGATTCCTCCCACGAGTACATGACTACAAGCTTTGTGAATCAGCCCACCCTTGCAGACACTGGTTAAGTCATGACACAAAGAATCTAATTGTACCACCTCCTGCCATACTTACAAGCTCTGGAGATCAGATTTAGACCAGAAGCCGTCAGGTGGGGATCAACCACTTTCCCTCCCCTCCCCGTGGATACTGTGAATGACAGGTGCATCTGGAAACCTAACTGAATGTGGAGCTACGATGACATGCATTTCAACGACCTCACAGACACATCCATGTGCTCCACAGTCTCTAAATTTCCTTTTATAGCAGAAGAATATACCAGCTAGATGTATCAGTACTGAAAATTTGACCTCAGGAAAAATAATACAATAAAGAAGCCTCCTCTATTCTTGGCACGATGCATAAACACAGAACACACTTGGACAGTATAACCCATTAACATTCACAGAGCCCTGGGACACAGGATTCAATGTTCCCTTGATGCCCTCTACAAGGTGAAAAGCTGAACATGTCACTTGATGTCAGGATGCCTGATATTGGCACTCCATCACTAGAAATCCCAGTCAGTAAATGACCTTCTCCATCTGTCTTTTCTGTCTCAGGAGATAAATTTTTTTTCTACACCACGTCTGACACCTCTACTGCATTTACTCATCCTCCTTTGTGCCAGACATATGCCAAAAACTGGGAGATCAGAAGGGAGCCAGACAGCCAGAACAGATAAAGACAATCCCTGCCCTTATGGATCTTACATCTTCATGGGGAAGGCAGAACTTATGTGGAAAATAGGCAAGAGGATTAACACCATTTCATTTTCTGTTAAGAAGGAAGTCAGCAGTGATGTGACTGAGAGCAAGAAGGGAAGCCTTCCTGACCTCTCAGGAGGTGATCCCTAGGCAGAGCCGGGCACAGGAGACAGAGTTGGCCTGTACACATGCAGAGGAGGAGTTCCAGCTGCTGTGTGGGCCATGCAAGGCCCCTAGGAGGGGATGAGTTAGGGCCATGGAGCAAAGGACAGAGACAAAGAGAGCAAGGAGAACACGGAAAGAACAGGTGATGGCAGGAAAGGATGGCAGGTCCAAGTCATGCAAGGTGTGGGGACCAGTGTCAGGAGCTCAGACTCCGTTCTGAGTGCTTGGGGAGTTGATGATGGGTTTCAGGATATGCATGTAATGATCTGATTTCTATATGGACATGGTCACTCTGGGTGCACAGGAACAAATGGGCTACACAGGGTCAAATGGGAAAGCAGGACGCAAGCTCAGAAGCTACTGGAGCAGCCTGCTGAGTGACGAGGCGGTGTTGAATGCGGGAGAGTGTAACAGTGGGACTCAGGAATGATGACAGTGTCAAGAGGACAGAAAGAAGATCAGAAAGGAGAACAAAGGCAAATTCAATAAGGAGAAGGAACCAGTAGAGTCCAGAGTTTGGGAAGCCAGGAATGTCTCCACGAAGGACAGAGTGAACACGTGGTCCAGTGTGACTAAGAAATTAATGGCAGTCACACCCAAACCCAGTGACCTTGATTGGAACTGATCCTGAGGCATGGAGGAGCCAGAGGCAGGGCTATCCTGGGTCAGGTCAGGGAGGGGAGGGGAGGACAAGCATCCTCACCATCTTCCGAGGACATAGCTGAGTCCACAGGGTGGGATGCTCCCTCTCCTTCCTGTTCAACTTCCTGTTCCACTGACAGTGCCATGCTCGGCTGTCTCTTAGATGGAGGAGGACTCATAGGTTCTCCATGACGTTTCATTTGGTCTTCAGGCCCAATGGCAGACTCCTCTGCTTTATCACTCATCACTTCCTAAGGAGAATCAGGAAACAAGTTCCATTAATGACAAAAATGTAACCATGCCCAAACTGCATTCTACATTTGTATATACAACATGCATCTGCATCATTTATATGAATTTTCTCAGGGGCCAAGGTTAACCATGCCCACAAACACTCTGTATGGGAAAACGGAGGAAGTTAATATACCAGTGTAGCCCAAAGGCAAATATTGTACATGATGAATCAGACTTCTTTCAGCAGAGAGATAGTCCAAGTCCAAGGCAGTGGAGGAGTAGGAGACCTTAGTTTCATCAGGTCCCAGGAATAGAGCCAGTTAGCCATCAAATCATTCTGAACACCAGGAACTCAACCAGAGATCTAAGAAAATAATAGCTGCATCTCCTCAAAAAGAAAAGTGATGACTTTCTGCAAGGTAGGAGGTGTGGAGAAGTGAATCCCAGGCAATAATGAGAATATAAACTGTGGGGTGGGGTGAATGGGAGGTTCCATCATCTGGGACTGGGACTGGGACTGGCATCACCAGGGACTGGGAACTGATATAGCAGTGAAGCACAAAATCAGAACTCTTAGAAGTCTTCTCCAGTGGTGGAATGTCCCTACCTGAAAGATGCTCAGGTGGCAAAGTGAGGTGGAACCCTAGGTGGGACAGTGTGGTCTCAGGACTCCTTGGGTCCCAGGAAGACCAAGAGTGCTTGAGTGAAGAAGAGTTCCCAGGCATGAAAGCAAGGAATCAGGCTGCAATCAGCATGCCCAAGAGTGGGATCTCAGCTCACAGTTGCCATATCCTGCGAACCAGAGCACACAACAGGACCCTCCTCCATCCCCCTGGTAGGAATAGCATGGGTGCATGCTGCAGGATTCTGCAGGGTTTGGAGACTCAAAACAGGGTTGTGCCCCTGAGATAGAAATGCTCAGTCACAGCCTGGGTGAGCGTGGAGTGCAAACTGAGACCAGGAAGAAAAGTGAGGTTTGACGGCTTTTCCCTGAGGGCCACAGAGGAGTGGGGGCCCGAGCTCTCTCGGCTCTGGGGCTGGAGATTGGGACTGCCATTTTCATTCTCATCCTCTAAAGTGCTGCAGAAACCCTTCCGGACACAAAAGCCACAGAGAGCAAACCCAAGCAAATTACCTAACCTGGCTCCAACAAGGGCGGAGCAATTCCACCTGGGACAGACCCCTGAGAATCAGTGCAACAGGTCCCTCCCTCAGCAAGAACATCAGCTAAGACCAAGTTTTCTGATCACGGAGAAATGCAAAACTCCAGGGTTAGGGGAAAATAGGATATAGAATTCATGGGTTTTTCCCCACAATTCTTTAGTCTTTCAATTTTTTTTTCTCTTTCCTTCTTCAACTAATTTCTTATTTTATCAACTCTTTTTTAATCCTTTTTAATTTTGATGCTTACAGTTACATTCTACCCTTTCATTGTGTTTAATTTTATATATATATATATATGTATATATATATATATACACACACACACACAAGTTTTTCTTTTTTTAAAATTCTGGGAAGCAGTTTCTTCTAACAAACAGACCAAAATATACCCAGAATCTACTGTATGGCTCATTCTTTTCACCTGTCTAATCATATTCTCTCTTTTATTCCTTTTTCTTCCTCTTCTTTTTTGTTAAAGTTCTCTTTAGTTTTCATCTTCACAGTTACATTCTATGTATTTCAATGTATTGAATTTCACTGTTAAATATGTTTAAGGTTTTCTTCCTTTACAATTTTGAGATGTAGCTTCTTCTAAAAAAACAAGAAAAATCACTCAGGACATAGTGTATTGCTCTATCCTGTTCACCTGTCAGTTCATATTCTCTCTATTTTGTCTTTTCATCTTCATTTGTATAGTTACATTCTATCCTTTCATTATATTTACTTTCATTTTTGTACATATATAAGTTTTATTTTCTTTTTTTAAAAATATTTAATTTATTTATTTGATAGAGAGAGATCACAAGTAGGCAGAGAGGCAGGCAGACAGAGAGAGAGGAGGAGGAAGCAGGCTCCCTGCTGAGCAGAGAGCCCAATGTGGGGCTCAATCCCAGGACCCTGAGATCATGACCTGAGCCAAAGGCAGAGGCTTAACCCACTGAACCACCCAGGCGCCCCGAAATGGATGCACTTCAAGAGACCTATAAACTACCAAAACTGAAACAGGAAGAAATGGAAAACCCGAACAGACCCATCACCAGCAAGGAACTTGAAACAGTAATCAAAAATCACCCAACAAACAAGAGTCCAGGGCCAGGTGGCTTCCCAGGGGAATTCTACCAAAGATCCAAAGAAGAATTAATACCTATTGTTCTGAAGTTATTTCAAAATACAGAAATGGAAGGAAAACTTCCAAACTCTTTCTATGGGCTAGCATTACCTTGATCCCCAAAACAGACAAAGACCCCACCAAAAAGAATTACAAACCAATATCCCTAATGAACACAGATGCAAAAAAAGTCTCACCAAGATACTAGCCAATAGGATCCAACAGTACATTAAAAGGACTATTCACCACGACCAAGAGGGATTTATTCCTGGGCTGCAAGGATGGCTCAACATCCAGAAATCAGTCAATGTGATACTCTACATTAATAAAAAAGGGACAAGAACCATATGAGCCTCTCAACAGATGCAGAAAAAGCACTGGACAAGGTACAACATCCTTTCTTGATTAAAACTCTTCATACTGCAAGCATAGAGGGAACATACCTCAATAACACAAAAGCTATATTTGAAAAGCCCACTATGAATATCATTCTCAATGGGGAAAAACTGAGACTTTTACGCCTAAGGTCCTGGACATGGCAAGGATGTGTGATCTCACCACTGTGCTTCAAAATAGTACTAGAAGTCTAGCCTCAGCTTTCAGACAACAAAAAGAAATAAACGCATCTGAACAGGCAAAGAAGAAATCAAACTCTTACTCTTCACAGGTGACGTGATACTCTATGTGGAAAACCCAAAAGACTCCACCCCAAAATTGCTAGAACTCATACAAGAATTCAGCAAAGTGGAAGGATATAAAATCAATGCACAGAAATCAGCTGTATTCCTATACACTAACAATGAGACATGAGAAAGAGAAAAGAAGGAGTTGATCTCATTTATAATTGCCCCCCAAATCATGAGATACCTAGGAATATACCTAACCAAAGAGATAAAGAATATCTATGCAGAAAACTATAGAACACTCAAGAAAGAAATTGAGGAAGACACAAAGAAATGGATAAAACATTCCGTGCTCATGGATTGGAAGAATAAATATGTTAAAATGTCTGTGTTACCTGAGCAACCTATACATTCAATGCAATCTCTATCAAAATATCACTAAGTTTTTTCACAGAGCTGGAACCAATAATCCTAAAATCTATATGGAACCAGAAAAGACCCCGAATAGCCAAAAGAATGTCGAAAAGAAAACCTAGTAACCTCACAATTCCAGACTTCAAGCTCTATTAAAAGTCTGTAATCATCAAGACAGTATGATACCAGCTCAAAAACACACATAGGTCAATGGAACGGAATAGAGAACCCAGAAATGGACCCTCAACTCTATGGCCAACTAATCTTCAACAAAGCAGGAAAGAATATCCAATGGAAAAGAGACAGTCTCCTCAATAAATTGTGTTGGGAAAATTAGACAGCTACATGCAGAAGAATAAGAATGCACCATTTCCTTACATCATAAACAAAAATAGTCTCAAAATGGATGAAAGACCTAAATGTCTTTAGGATTTAGGTGGACAGGAATCCACCACAATCCTACAGGAGAACACAGACAGTAACAACTTAGATTTGGACCATTTGACAACATCTGACAAGGACATGAGAAGAAAAGAACATTACAGGCCTAGATTTCTTTCCTAAAAATAGATATAAAAATTCTAAACAGAAGATTAACAAACAAAAAACACAAAGAGACAAATAAGAGAGACTTCATGTCATGATGTTGTATATTCCATGAAGACAACATTGGGTTCAAATTTGAAAATCTTTGTATAGCATATTTAGAAAAAACAAGGAAAAATTCCATTATTAATTTTGTACAAGGGTACAAGTTCAAGAACTATTTATTCATGATTAAAAATCATCAGCAGGTTGGGGATGCCTGGGTGCCTCACTCATTTAAGAGTCTGCCTTCAGCTCAGGTCAGGTCCTAGGATGGAGCCCCAGATCAGGTTCCTTGTCCATTAGGGAGTCTGCTTTGCCCTCCTCCACTGCCACACCTCCTACTCATGTTCTCTCTTTCTCTCTCTCTCCTCCCCCTCACAAATAAATAAAATCTTGAAAAAATTATTAGCAGGTTAAAATAAAACCCAGTTTCTTTGACCTAGTAAAGAGTATTCACCCCAAAATATCCTATAGCAAATATTATACTTAATGGTGATATCCCAAACACTTTCTACCTACATTGGCCGCTAAGAGAAGGATGTCCACTATCTATTCAAGAATATATGGAATTCATCAGGTGTGCCACAGTGCCAGGAAACTATATTAAGTATAAATTTTGGAAGGGAGGAAGCCAAAATGTCACTCACAGATGGCATTTTTTTTGTACATAAAATATCCTAAAGGATATAAAACAATTAAAGTTAATAAAGGAACAATAGCCAAGTTACTGGATGTAGGACCAAGAACCAAAAAACACATCTATTTCTGTGGAATAACGAAAATATTTAGAAAAAGAAATTCAAAATACCATTGAAAAGAAGGTTAAGAACATCAAAACCCAGGGAGTAAACCTAACAAAAGGTGTGTTGGAGCACTCCACGTAAAACAGAATACCTCACCGAGATGATAAAGGCCTCAGTAATGGGGAGTTAGAAATTTTGCTTGGATTGCAAGACTCCTTATTAAGTCACCATTGTCATCTCGGCCCGGAATAATTATTGCATCATACTTAAAATGTAAATTATTTTTTTAATTTAAAATTTTAAAATCCCACCCTGTTAATATTGGGAATAATTCATGACCTGATACTAAAGAGTGTATGGATATCAAAGGGCCTAAA